ACGCGGTGCTGTCAACTTTGAAAAAAGTTATACCAATTTACTGTGTTGAATTGGCATTGTACAGAAATGCACAGCCATATTGGTCTAGAAATGTTAATTTTTTCATTTTTATTTTTATTTTTTTCCATCTGTAGGGGTAATGCTATAAAATTTGAATTTTTGAAAACTTTAACGGTGCTGTCAACTTTGAAAAAAGTTATACCAATTTACTGTGTTGAATTGGCATTGTACAGAAATGCACAGCCATATTGGTCTAGAAATGTTAATTTTTTCATTTTTATTTTTATTTTTTTCCATCTGTACAGGGGTAATGCACTGTATTAAATATGAAAGGTCATATCTAAGGGGATTTGATTATAGAAACTAATAAAGTATTCTCTAAATAATGAAAAAAAAGAATAAGACTACAAGAGCAAGCAGCAATTTAAATATGTTAAGAGACCATTTTCATCTTTAGAAGTGAGGATTATTTCAATCTTTCATCATTGCCTTTTCTCTTTTACTTTCCTTTTTAGTTTTATTTTAGGATTCCCTATTTTTAATGTTCATACAGAGATTTCTTTAACTGAAATACTGAATAGTTTCTCTGGTGTGAAAAGCTATAATAGTACACAGGATGCTAATGAGATAATTAATAATGTGGAATAGGAAGTAAAGGACTAAAGGTGTAGGGAAAGTGGGAAGGGTGGGGGAAAGGTAATAAGGGAGAGGAAAACAATATGAGAAATTGAAAAAATGGAAATAAAGTGTTTGTAAATGGGGAGGGGAAGAGCGGGTGAAGGGAGGGCAGGGACAAGGGGAAAATGAGATTCAAGACCTATTATGTAAAGGAACAGGATCCCAATGATGAATGTAACTGTATTGTATACCTAGATATCACTGTAGTATGATTTTTAAAATTCTTTTGGAAAGACACCTAGCAGAGGGATGGCTGGGTCAAATGGAATCTCTAATCCTAGTTCTTTAAGATAGAGTGGATTAGACTGGTTCTTCATAGAATTATCTCTCTTCCTATTCATACTGCTCATCAAAGTCAGAAGCTAGATTTTGCTTATCAGAATGTTTTCATAACACTCAGGTCACAAACACAGGCTTACAAGGTGTTCCATAAACACTTGTTGAATGAAAGTGAGAGGCAGACAGAAATTGGCCTAGTGAATCATGCAGAGGGTGTTGCTCCACTGAGATTCTGAAGCAAACAAAACTTTTCAATATTCTGTGGTACCCTAAGTGATACTCAGAGGCTGTGGTTCTGGAAGTAATACTCCTAGTTCTGGGCAAATTGAGTTCCAATGAGAAGATGCCAGGCTCCCTGCCAGCGTGAGTGGTTAATTCCTTTAAAGTTCTTCAGGGATTTTAAAATTGGTTTCTTCTTGTGTGGCCCTTTTCTTTTAAAGATGAGCCTGGTAATCTGAGAAGATGGAACCAGAATTTTTCTTAACAGGAATTTTGTGTGTGGGTTCATTTATATGATCAGTTCAATGTGCCATGTGAGTTATTCTCTTATTCCTGGAGCTACATAGCCCATTTCCCAGTTTGCTTTGATATAGGTGGAATAGATGCAACTCCCAAACCTGCTAGCTCTCTGAAACTAGAGTTCTTCTTTTCTAAAATTGAGGAATAAATTCTAGTAACAATGGAGGTTGAGTGGGAAAAATTTACTGAGAGAAAGAGCATCTGTGTAATAGAGACAGAAGGGGGACAAGAAAGTGGGTTGCCCAGGATCTATTTCCCAGGGGCTTTTTGTGGAGCAAAGCTACAAGGTGAGGTGGGTTCAAGGTGGGAAAAAACTAAAGACCTAATGAAAATTAGAAGGTAGGCATGAAGGGGGCAAAACTATGACCAGTATGATTACAAGTTCAGTCACACAGGTAACATTAATTAAATGAGGATCAAATAGGAAAACAATTCTCATACAAGGAATTTCCCATTTAGAATATCAATCATTGCTATCTTTAATACTTCTTTTCTTTTTTGTATTGCTAACTAGTCAGTATGCCTCAACTGTTCTCCATATTGACTCATTGCTGTGTTGGCTCCTTGAGGACTTCCCCATTTAGGACTGGTGCCTTGAGGGTGGCCCTGTCTAACTGCCTTCAAGGTAATCGAATTAATTTACCTATTTACAGTAACTCCACATTTGAATACCTGTCTCAGGGTGCCGAAGCCAAGGATCATCCAGATGTTTTCACCTCCCAGGTCCTCCATTCTAGGTCCCTGCCTCTCTTTGGCTGCAGAAAGCAGATGTTCCTGAGTCACAGGCTCCAGCCTTCTTTCCTTCCTTTTTCACAGCAGTGAATGGTTTGAGCAGGCTGATTGATACCTGGGTTTGCCCACCACACTGAGGTTGCTAATCGAATATGGAGCAAACCAGGAAGTGGTTTTTCTGTAATCAGAAATCAATTTTTCTTTAGTTAGTAGTACAGAAATCATGAAATTCAGTTTCTGTGATGGTTACACATATACACAGCCCCTTTTCATTTTCATTCTTTTTTTTTTTTGTACCGGGGATTGAACTTGGGTCCTTGCGCTTGCAAGGCAGGCCACTGAACAGCTGAGCTAAATCCCCGCCCCCCCTTTTCATTCTTACATAAATAACATTCAGCTATGGAAGCCCCATGCTATGTTTTGAGAGAGTCATTTATGGAAAGTCAAGAGAAGTAAGATCTACAAAAATAAAGCACTGGGTCTTTATCCAGAAGCTTAGAATGATGTCCGTAGGAAGTCTTTACATTGAAATTGTATGCCATTGGATTATCAATAGCAGGTGAACAATAATGCTTTGGATACCCTGTGAGACACAGAGAGCCAATCTGTATTTGTACTTATGTGTGTACCTCTATGTGCTTTTACGGGAGATAGAGTGACCTTCAGAAGTGCAAGGAGCACGTTTTTGTGTGTGTGTGTCTGAGGATGTACTCTTAGTCTCTCTGTGAAGTAAAGCAATTTCTATTGGGTGGCATTAGCTCTCCTTCCCCCAGTACTAAAAATCTTTTAAATGAGTTTTAACCAGATGATAACAAGGTAAAATGAGAAAAAAAAAAAACTATTAAAAATTTCACCTTTAAAAACAAAATCCAGAGGAAATGAATCTAATTATGGGAGCAATTTATGACAAAGAGTAAAGAGACTATTTCATGTATGTGGGAATAAAGATGCTTGTAGTGTTAGGGAAAAAAGAGAAGGCTCTTTCTGTCCATTTGATAAAGTTTATAGGCTGGTAGAAATAGCATTGCATATTGACAACCTTGCTAATGCCTGTTTCACTTAGCTGTCTTGCATAATCACAAATATGAATGGCTACTTTGAATACACTTATTTTTGAGAACATAATTAGACTATATTTGTGGTAATTACTGTATTATTTTGAAGCATCTTTTATGGTATTTCCTTCTTTTATTTTTAAGACATTTTTATGCTTTACCTTGGGAAAATAAATCAGAATATTTGTCTAAATGCTAAGAGCATTTCTTGTTGACAAAAATGACTACGACCCTGCAGTGCTGCAGAGTCTGTAAGATGGTGTGATTGCTTGTGGTGTCAGCCTGGCTGGATTAAGGGATACTCAGAGCTGGTAAAGCATTATGATTCTCAGTGCTTCACTAAGCATTGATCCCATCTTCTTCTGCTGGAGGAGAAACCCATGTGATTTTGCTTTTGATTACAGTGATTGGGCTTCCTGCCTCAGTGTTTCCAGGATGGACTGTTGTGAGTCTCAGAAAGAGTGAGGAAGACCCATCCTTAATGTGCACAGGCACCATACCCAGCAGCTGTGGGCCCAGATGGAACAAAAAGGCAGAAAAAAGGTGAATTTATCCCCCTCCCCCAGAGATGGGACATCTTTCTTCTCCTATCCATGGACATGAGAAGCCTAGGTTCTTCTGTGTTTGGACTTTGGGACTTGCACCAGGGGCCCATGAGTTCTCAGGCATGCTACCAACTTCTCTGGCTCTCTGGCTTGCAGATGACCTATCATGGGGCTTTTCAGCCTCTGTAATCAAGTGAGTCAATGAGCCGGTACTCCCAATACACCCCTTCTTGCCTCTCTCCCTCCTGCTCCTTTTACCTTCCCTCCCCTCTCCCTGCCCTCTTCCTGCCTCTCCTTCTCTCTCCAGTCAGTTTTGATTCTCTGGGGAACTCTGACTGAAACAAACAAATCCTCCCTTGCTCACTTTAAAAGTCTTCCTTTTTCTTTTCTTTTCTTTCTTTTTTGGTATGGATGACACTGTGGGTCCTTTATCATGGGAAGTTCACAGATTCTTTGGAAATATAAACTCCAAATTACTTGAGAAGAAGAAGCAGACTGACTTCTTTCTAAAATCTCTGAGTCTTTTTAGTTCTTACTGCTTGGTGCAGCTTGACTTTCCACAGCTCAGGTGTCCTGGCTGCAGTACAGATGAGGCAAGAATAAAGAATTACAATGAGAACTCAAAGGTTCCCTCTTCTCAGTGTGGGAGACAGAAAATAAAGACATCAAAGAAAAGACTGAAGTAATGGCACTCTAAATGTTTAGGAAGATTTTGTTTCGGGATCTTTTTTCAGAAAACAATTGCTTTTTAACCACGTCACCTTATGTGTTTGATTTTTCTGGCTCCTGGGTTTATAGCTTCATTTAAATGGACTTTCTAGGCATGAATTTTGGACACTCCCAGTTTTCTCCAAGTACCTGCCTCATTGATTTTGGTCATTCCATCTTGATTTATTCTTTCCACCTGGCTCCTGCCCCTAGCATCACTTGTCACCTATCTTGGCTCATGCTTAAGTGTATTTTGTGGTATGATGTAATGAATGGAAAGACCAGGAGATTTTGAGCTTTAAAGACCCAGAAACCAATTACTGTTTGTATGACCTGGGATAACCTCTATTGGTTTCATTTTTATTAGCTATGAAAAGAATATACTGATACTTTTTGTTAGGTAGAAGTGAAATGCTCTTCTCACACTGGCTAGAACTAGTACTTGCTCTGTGTCTGTCACCTTCCTTCTTTCCTCCTGACTTCGACTCAGAGACATCCCTGCTTCCTCCTGCAATGGAAAACCCCACAGCCTTTCAGGTACAGGATGTACCCATTCTTGGCTGGTTACACGCAGACCCTTTCCCTGATAAATGTGATAAGAATGGGCAACATTATGACAAAGATGATCAATGATACAATCTCCTATCCGTATTCTTCAACTTGCCATCTCTTTCCATACTTGTTTCAATACCTATATACCACTACCAGCCAATTACTTCTTAAAAGTCAGCTGTTACCTATCTATCTCATTGACTTTTATAATTCCTAGAAGGAGTCTATATAAGGAAAGGAAAGAATCAACACATACATAATAATGAGGTTGCATTATTAAAATTATGCAAACTTACATAATTTTAAGTTTAATATCACCAACATTGCTTTATAATGGACAGTATTTCTTTCCCAATTTGCAGAATCTCTATTAATGATGTTTTTCTATGTCTTCTACCAAGCCAGGAAATCAGTTTTTCAGTTTCTTCAATTATTTTAGTATTCTTTTAGTATTCTTTTCTGAAACTGATGGTTTTTCTCATGTGGGATCATATTCACCAATTTTACAACACATTGTACTTTACATTGTGATTTTGTCATGAACAGAAAATTTTGACTTTTTCTTCTACAGTCACTCAGTAATTATCAAAGAATAGCCATGACCAATGCCTACCAATAGCATGAGTTTTACTTTGCTTTTTATCATGTACTATATCTTCTGTGGCTTTGAGCTTTGAAGTCCCTATTGACTCTGAAGCACAGAATCTCAGGGTGTAGGAAGAAAGCCTAACATTCTCCAATATTAGACATGACATCCTTACTCTGCGGTTACTTTTCCTACCTTGAATAATGTACATTACAATATAAACATAAATTCTCAAAGCAGCTTTTTCCACATTTAGACATCTCTGAATGTTAGAAAGGTATCTTTCCTATGAACTCCTTGATCTTCATTTTGCATATTGGAGTCATATGGAAAAATTTTCTTATCCACTAATAAGCCACTTATAATTTTCTTTAAAAATTTTTAAAAATTGTATTTGTACATGTTTGCAGGTCATGTACTTTACGACAATCTTGGAGAATGGTTACATGTACATATTATGAAATGTTTCTGTTTTCTTTGTTAATTCCCTTCCCTTTCCTTCACCCTCACCTCGCTCTTCCTCCAGTTCATTTTTCATTCCTGTTGATGTCATTTGTATTAGTTCGTGTTATAGTCTACAATGTTGACGTTAATTGGGGTTATTAGGTTCCTATACATGGCATCTCTTTATACCTCTTCTTCCCCTTCTCTTCCTCACTCTTCACTTTTGTTCCCTTTATATTTTTTTTGTTTGCATTTTTTATCACTCAAGAGATACCATACAGTATTTAAATTTTCATGTCTGGCTTATTTCAATCATCATTATATTTTCCAAGTGCATTTATTTTCCTGCAAATGTCTCAAATTTATCTTTCTTCATAGTCCAGTAGTATTCTATGACATATAGATATTACATTTTATTTATCCAATCATCTATTGGGTGGGTATATGTGCTGCTTTCAGGATTTAGCTGTTACAAATTGTACCGCCATAAACAATGGTATGCACGTATCAGTGTAGTATGATGACTTAAGCTCTTTGGAGAAGATACACAGTAGAGTGATAGCTGGATCATATGGAATTTCTAATTTCAGTTCTTGGAGAAATCTTCATACTAATTTCCCTAATGGCTGTACTAGTTTGCCTTCTCACCAACAATACAGTCTTGCCAGTGTTTGTGATTTAAACTACTTACAATGTTCAATGGCATCTATCTTTTCTCCCTGTATACACGTGGGTGATTACCCCTTTGATTATGTCCAAAGCAGGCTGTAAGCAGTTCAGGCTGTATGTAAAGATTTAACCCCATAATTGGCTTTAAAAAAAAAAAGAGTAGCAAAAATTTATTGAGAGAAAGATAGCTTCTAAGAGAAATAGGAGGGAGACTGGAAAGTGGAAAGTGCCCTTATGCAATTGGTTTGTTTTAAGAAGTGAGTCTCACCAAAGCATATGAGGTAATATACAGATGAGGTCAGAGTAACTCTTACCCAGATTCTGTTTCCAGCCTAACACAAGAATGCTTTGTCTCTCTCTTTTTTTTTACAGTCTTGCCTGTGTCAGAAACCCATCCCTAGAAACCACATGTAACCTCCTTGTACTACTTAGCAGTGATTGTGTCACCAATAAACATGGATGGCACTGGTTGTTCAGTGTTTTTGCTTGCTGAGCACTGACCATCCCAGTTCCCTATGTGTTTCTTTTTAATTTTGTGTCTCAGTCTTCTTGCCATGCATCATAGCACCAAGCAGATCAGGATCCTCTGCAGGGGGTTCACAATATGCACACTCTTTTATTATCCAACCTTTTATTTATTAATTGTTCTATTTACTCTATCAGTAAAGCTACATTATTATTTCTACATTAGAAATAAGAACAAAAATTAAAAACTCCTATTTTAAGAAATTCTATATAATGGAATATTTATATGAAGTGCTATTTTCCCACATACATCTATGTTGTTTTTGGAAACAGCTAACTATATATATGGGCAAGGGATGAGTAGAATGATCTTTCCTAATGTCCTTTATCTTGTAGAGCTCATGAAGTCTGTCCTAGCTGACTGGAGATAGCCTTCTGCCTGAGGGTGGAGGAGAATTTATTTTGAAGAATGACGAGGAGAAAAAGAGAAAGATATATTACTTCTAAAATAAAAAAGAAGATTAGAGCAAAATAAAAACATTTTAAATCAGACTATGATTGTGAGAGATGATTTTACAAATCCTTTTATTTTTCCAACATAGCAGCGAAGTTATCCTTCCATCCACAGCAGCAAAGCCTTGTGGCCAATAGATATAGAATGTAGGAGGGAAAAGTAAAACCTCTTTCCTAGTTTTATGACGGGAAAAGTTGATGATGGAAAGGGAGCAAAGAGAAAGAGGAGGAAGAAGACATTGATCAGATGTGTGCCTTTACAGAAGAGGATAGATCCAGGATCCCGCTGTGAAGCAAATAAATGGAAGAGGCTGCAGCCTTTCACTCCTTTCTGAGGATCGGCAGAGAAAGCTTTCCAAAGTTTCCTGTAGCAAACACCCTTCATTATCTTCATGAGGCTGTGTCACTAGGTTTCAGAGGCCTGAGTATCAGCTTTCCTAACTAACCCTCATTTTCCAAGTGTGTTGTGGGTCCTGAGGCATCAAGTGGTCTTAATAGAAAAGACTAGCAGGAAACCTCAGAGCTTTGGATCCAGTGAGTGTCAAACTGGAGGCCAGATTGACCAGACTATCATGCCTCCCACTCCCAGTTGCCTTCTTTCAGAATAGAAAAAGAATAGAAAGAGGCTGAACTATTCCCTACCAGAGACTGAATATTGCCCAAGGGACTGTTGGATTATCATACCATCCAAGACTTAAACTGAGTTACACACTTATATACATAATTTTTCTTTTTAACCAGAAGATAGGGGCTCATGAAGATATGTCTATAAACAAAAGATAAATAAATAATGTATTCTCTTTACATCTGAGTTGTGTGACTTAAATGTTTTGACCTCCATTATGTCTGGGCTATCCCCCAAAGACCTCTATTCTCATTTGAAAGAGGAAGAGAAACTGCCATGTGATTTGTCATCTGAATTTAGTGATGCATGAAGTTAATCTCAACTTTCTATTCATGTAGGAGTTTATTTGCACATGGTGTGCTACATTAATTTTTTAGCACAGTTTTTATGTAGTTTTATTAAAGTATACTTTCTTTAGACATTTTAAAAGCCCTGTTGGTATTGCAGAAACCAATGCATGCATTCATTGGTTTGATTCATGTCTGCTTCTCGGCTTACTGTGTGCTTTTGTCTTCAGGCAGAAAGTCCTGTTTATCCTTTGTGGTTCATTCAATATTAATACAGGGTTTAACATACTCACAAGGTGTATTATTCTTTATGCTTTTATGCCACAGGGCTGAAGAAGCTGATAAATTCATTAATTTTAGAGAAAATAATTTTTAGTATTTTACTTCTGAGAGCAGAGTTTGTTTTCTTTTATGATATTGAATTCTGATGCTCATTTTTTTAAGAAGACTCAAATTTGTTGAGATTACAATATTTCTGAAATTTTATCTTACTATCAGACCACTTTAGACTATATTATTTAGGGCTCACTGTCTCTGTTTCTTTGTCTCTCTCACTTTCTCTTTCTAAAGCAAATGGATTATGCTATGTTTAAAAAATTTCTAAATTTTTTTCAGCTAAGAAAAATATGAAACATTTATTGGACCTCTAACTGGGTAAACAATTTGGAATTAAGGGAGGTCTGAGGAGAAACTTTTTCGGAAAGGCAGTTGTTAGCGTTTCTTAAAGTATCATGACACTTAGTTTGCTTCCTTTAAGGGAAGAGCAGTAAGGAAGAAATAGATTCACAGAGAACAGAAGTACCAGTAATTCTGTAGGCTCACAATTTTGGGGGATCATGTGCTCTTTGGTAAATTATGTCACCTCTCGGAGCCTGAGTTGTATTCATCTGTAAATTGAGGTTAGCAATGAAATATGACCTACCTATCTCATAGCATTTTGTGATGATAAGTGAAGTTACGTATGAAAATGGCTTTTGTATATTATTACCAGGGTGAGTTGTTCGTTGTCACAACATTTTATTTTCCTTTGCACAGCTGGACTGGAGAGGAGGAATAATGTTGGTAAGGTCCTGGTCTAGGGAGAATGGAACTTCCTGTTTTTAGATTCCAACCCTCCCAGCCAAATATCTAACAATACTTTCCTTAACTGCCCTCTCACTACATGCTGTCTAGGACACCACTCTACTACTTTCTCTTTGACTTCCACTTGCCCTGGTGTGCCCTGGCATTTAGTTCACATGGAATGGACTACAGGGGGCCTGAGAAAGCTCTGAGGGCCATGGAAGATGTTCTTGCTGCTATTGGTCTTCTGAAGATGCACTGGCCGACATAAGAGGGAAATCCCAGCCAAAGGTCATCACATTCACCCACACTTGAGTAGAGGTTTCAAGTACAGATCAAATTTTTGGCACAACTTCTGGTTAATTGTGCCTTTCTGAGTAAGCCTGTACTTGAATAATTCCTCTGTCCCTCACCTGTCAATATATTTGTTTGCATTAACTGTCTACCGATTATAGTACTTCCCCCAGAATTCCAGCCTGAGAGAACATTGCAAAGATTCGAAGGTAAGTCTCTCTTTTTATTTTTCCAACATTTGGTTGAAGTCTCAGTTCTTTCCAGTTTCCTTTTGAAAGTCAAAGCCAAGTAAATCATTTATACTTCTCTCCTGAGGCAATCTCACAGAAATAGTCTAGCTCTGTGAAAGAGGATGAGATTTGGGGGCTTTGAAGGTCAAATGGAGGAATATATTTGGGAAATGTAGTAATATTAAAATGATGATCCTTAAGTGCTTCTATTTAGAATTATTTGGTGTGGCAGAATCTTGAGGCTTGATAGTGAATTTGCATTAGCCTGTTCTCTTCTATGTAAGAGAGTTTTATTATGTGTACTAGAGGTAGAATGCAGTTCGTTTCATCAATTTTTAAGATCTTGATTTAAACTGAATATGATATTTATCTTTGGTTGAAGTAGTCTAGAAAATTGTGTTTTTCATTTGTGTAATAGGGCATGTATCCAGGGTATTTATTCTAGGTAGCTGGTCCAGGTATGGGCAGTGAAACTTCTTATTTACCAATTTCCATGGAACTGCTGATCTTGTGGGCTCATCCCGGACTATGATCTTGATAAAGTTCTAGCCTGAAAATAGTTTGGTTTTAAAACATCTTAATAAAAACAAACTCAAATCTTCTACAATTTTATATTGTTATTTTATTTGCAAAACTAGTTGAACATCTTGAGTTTAATTTCAGCCTCTGCTCCCACATGTTTTATCAGTTTTCTCTTCATTATCCATTTCACACCCAGAATGGTGTGTGGCTGAGAATAAAAGACAGAAAGAAATAGATAATTAAAGTAAATTGCTCCACTATACTTAGAAATTAGGGCACAAAATGTGTGAATAAAAATAGGATGCTAAATATTTAACGCTTGAAACGGCCTTCTGCAGTTCAGATTCTTATCCACGTTAGTACAGATAAGAAATGCATAGTGATGGTATATATTTATGGACCACAGGGTGACATTTCGATGTATATATAAAATGTAATATAATCAGATCAAGGTAATTGGCTTATTTTTTTTCTTTTATTGAGTTTATTGGTACATTTTAGGTATACAATACCAATACATTCATTATTGGGATCTTGTACCTTTACATGACAGGTCTTGGTTCTCATGTTTTCCCCTTGTCCCTGCCCTCCCTTCACCATGTCCTCCCCTCCCCATTTACAAACACTTTATTTTCATTTTTTCATTTTGTCATGTTTTTTCTTTTCCTTTATTTACCACTTTAGATGTATATTTTTGTGAGTTGGAAACATTTAAAATTCTACTAGCTCTTTTGATTCTTCAATTTATTTTTTCTAGCCCAACTTAATTATGATTATTAGATTCTTCCTGTTTTTTCCATTATAAATGGTGCACTGATAAAAATTTTTCAATATATACTACTTTTGACTTAAGGATAATATTTTTTCACTTAATTTCTTGAAAAATGAGTCTGTGACTCCAAAGGATATGACTGTATATATTTTTAATATTTCTTTCTAAAACAGCTTTGACAATATATCACAGGTAATATCTGATTATATTGATTTCAGCAAAATTTTGACAAATTTGCCTGTCATTAAATTTGTGCTAAATTTGGAATTCAATCAATAAAATGTTGGTTTCAATCCACAAAATTAAAAAAAAAAGAAATGCAGATTATTTTATTTTGTGGCTCTAAAAATGACTTCTAATATATTTAGTGTACATTTTCTTTTCTGTAAAATAAGCATAAATATAAATTGATTTGTGTAGACTTGAGGACCCATGTTTTTTTAAACTGAGCATCTTTTCACAGCATCAATCAATAGGCTTTTGATATGGAATTTAAAGGGACAGAAAGAAGGCAGGCTTGCTGCTGCTGCTTGCTGCTTTCTGCTTTCTGCACCATGAACTATTTCTTTTCTGTGATGCACCCACTGCTCTGCCACCCTACCTTGGAGCCACCTGACTATGGACTGAAATCTTGACAAATTGTGAACTGAAATAAACCTTTCCTCTTTCAACTTGTGTATGTTGGGTAATTTGTTCCAGCAAAAAAATGTAACTAAGATAACGGTATACGATATGAAGTGATGAGATGAAAATAAAAAGTTAACTTGTGACTAGGTGTATTCTAAGCAATTTCTTCAGAAATATTTTCTCATTCATGCTTCTAAATATTTAACTGATTCTTTGGACTTTTAATTGCTATTATTTTAGTCTTATTTTTAAGTCCTCTAATAAGTTATTTTTCAGAATAGATCTTTCTTTAAACTTTTCTTATTTCTGTAAATATATTAAATGTGCTTATTTTTATATCCAAAGTACAACATGGCTACTAACTACAGTCTTTGCAGGTATGATTCTTTTGTTCACTATTCCTCCATACTCTTGTTCACAGTGGCTTGGTGAGTGTGTGTGTGTGTGTGTGTGTGTGTGTGTATGTGTGTGCGTGCATGTGTGTGTATATTTCCGTGTGATTGCTGAATGTTGATTGTGAATCTGTACTCCTTTGAATTTC